AAGGGAAAAAATAGAGCTGTTTCTATTATTTCTTCGTAGAAAGCTATTACCGAAAGAGGATACCGCCTGATTCTATTTATACCTGATTTCATACAGTAATCTCCCTGACTTTGTAATTCACAATGAGTTTGATCCTCAAGACCAGCCGGGAAAAGACCAGTGTCAGTCATCTTTAGTTTACCTATATGTAGAAAAAAAGAAATGCCAAACAATAATAAGGACAGTAATTTTGATATGTGATGTGCAACGAGGCATGTTAAATATACCTCTTCTAGAAGATAAATTCTATCTGTGCGAATATAAAACTATAGCAAAAATATTACAAAACAAACAAAAACTCACTCCAAAAACATAAAAACACTTGAATTCTTATCATTTCGTTCATATGTAAAAAGTCTTACTGTGAAAGATGAACATTGAATCCAACTTACCATTTTGGAATGATCTAATCTTGCCAGCATCTTCGTCATTATGACCATAAAGATATGAGGCATCAAGGAATGATGTGGCCTGGTTAAGCTGGTCACGTCGACCTAAAACGATATGGTAAATTAAAATATACGCCTGTAATGGTGAATTTGATGATACATTAGATGATATAGTTGCTTGTGCATTTGATTCTATTTCACATACTTGTTATATAACTCTACACCTTATTTCCTCTTGTGGCAGAGGCCTTTAAGGCTTGAGCTAACACGTTTATTCCTGCGTGATCTAAATAGGTTTTAATTCTGGAGTTTACGCAACTATTAGCTTCAGCAGGTGAGGTGGTTTTGAATAACGTACTCGAGGTCAGCCAAAATAATTTTACCTGTTTTGGCGCCATGTGACCTAAATAATGTTTGTGGACTGTAAAACCAAAACAAAACAAACAAATTACATTTCTTTGCAGAAGTAACAACTAGTAATTCAAAGTAGTACGTAAAAGTGAATGATGAACATTAAAATGAAATTTATCATGATAATATTACTAACCATATATATAATACACTAGTATAAGTAGGGACAAATGTTTCTACATCCTTGGCTATAAAAGTATCCAGTGCATACAGGACTTTTACGGATGTCAATAATATAATGGTGCTACTGTAACAGTTCTCTCAGACTAGTACTAGAAAATGCATGAAGTAAAAATACCTATATCACACGAATCAGAATGTCCAGCAATAGATCTAACAAAGTTCATGCAAGGTTCATGAAATCTCTGGTCTCCGGCATCAATAGGAATTGGGAAACATTCAGATCTGAAAAAAGTTAAAAGGTAAAATCAAAAATGGGGTTTGTGTTAATAATGATAAAGACTACGATGTCTTGTGGATAACTCGCCTTATTCACAACAGAAGAATGTTTAAGACACCTAGATATAACTGTTTTTCCGACATCATAGGTAAACAAACAACATTATATAACTACATGTATGTATGATATGAAGATTTTGTATGTTAGTGAGTAGTAAAGAAAATGATATTAAAGATAAGTTACGCGCGCTTTAAGTCCCATATAAATGTATTGGTTATAACATTTGAATCTTTAAAATGCAAAATGCGAGGTAACATTTCCCAAACACTCCTAGAATTTCAAGATATGACTTGTGTCACATACACAAATGGAATATTAAAGGTGCTCTTGCACCACTATAACAAAAAAATTATTACCTTTGCATAAGAACGTCTTTTGTTAGATTACAACATATAACAGTGGCGTCGTTAGCACCTCTTGCAATGGCTGTGTCTGTAAGGTCATGGTCAATCATCTGTCCCCATTGCATCACGTACAAACTAAGGTCCCTCTCTTTCAGTGGACAACAAGGGTCTTGATTGTGAACTACGTTACTAACTGTACGGGCGCTGGGTAGATATTCGCCTGTAACGCCGGTTTGGCGTGGTAATCCAATATCTAGAGTACACAGAAATGGCAAAAAGAGATTGTAATATAACATTGATTTTAATACGTCTGGGTTCATTTCTTTATTTAATATATTAGATGAATTGTCGAAAATATAAACTAAAATATCAAAATTGTATATATTATTAACATAACTAGATGTATCCATTTTCATTCTAATTGAATATTTACAAACCTTGACAAATATCTACTAGTAAAATACATTATCAGTGTTTTGTCTATCAAATAAGAAATTAGATCAAGGAGTGCAATATTTTCAAATACCATCCATATATTTTGGTTTTAAAAAACGAAGGTGTGGTCTGTTGGAACGTCCCCAAAGCGGATTTTGCAAGTTATTGCAGGAACCGTCGATTGTTCTATATTTAGCACTTGCATCACAAATTGCATCACGGCGAATACAGAATGGTGAAATAAGTTCATGCCATATTTGTGGTACACCGGGACACTGGTACAGTTCGTCTGGACTGACTCCAAGGCTTATATGTAAATAAACAAGCAATAAACGAAATAAACGATTTTTTCCCAAAGAAAAAGCCATGGTCACTCTCTGTCATATTTTATGTAACCCTTTGTAAAATCAAATGTACACATGTACCAACATGAATTCCGCAATATGTAAATAATGAAAGCTGATGACTCAAAATTTGTCATTCATTTTACTGTATAATAAATTCTTAAAATAATTAATTATAGATGTTTTTTTTTTTTTGATTTAGCGATCATTGAATGTATACATTTGTTGTCACTTATTTGCACATTGAATGACATACCACAATAATTATTGATTTTTTTTTTCTTAAGATCTTTAATGCCTGATAGTATAGTATACAGTTTGTAGTTACAACATCAACAAGCACCGTGACAGAAGTGAATACGTACGCATTGGAGATGAACTTTGTAGCAAACTGAACAATGTAACCGCTGTCCACTTGAACGGATGCCGGCAAGTTGAGATGTGAAAAGGCGGCGTAATGCTGATGGTACGTCTTTGGCATATATGGTGTCGGGTTCATAGCCTCATCATGTCCTATATAATGTATGTTGCCGTTGATACAAATTTTTGTGAGATTGTATGATAAAAAGTTGAGTGATATACAACGTAAATTTACAAATATAGATATGACAGTTAAAAGTTCAAAACATCGAACTAATGTATAAAGGGAAATATCCAATTATCCATACAAAGAACATACTGTATTTTATCAAAATATGTTATATATTAAATTACATATATTTTATATGGCCAATTAAGTTTAATATGCGATATTTTATGGTATAATATGTTGCAAGGTCTATATAAATCCTGTTTCTGTTTGTACAATGAAACAAGATAAGCATCATCATGTTTTGTATCATGTATACAATACAAATAACGAATGCATATCTTGTCATTTATTGCAAGATCCTTGATTAAAATGCAATTAAATTAGTTTAAGGAAATAACGAGCACATCTGCTCGAATGACAATTAATGTTTTGAAACTAAACAAAGAGTGTAATATACATTCTAATTATATTTACTGTGCAAATATACACACAATTTACACACAATTTACACTTTAACATGTATAATAGAAGTGTATACAGACGAGCTGTGCCGAAAATTCATATATCATTATAGCGGAACCTCACCATAAAGTCCCCTTGTATTAACAGTTATTTGAATTTATAGGTGTAATGTTTACGAAACTTGATAATTTTCAAATGGCAACATAATTGTAAAGCATTATCCCCTTCCACACAAAAAAATGATTGCACGCGAATGTTGCATCTTCTGTCTCATTTTACAATAGATTGTCATTTTCGACTGTGCAAATACAGATCCTTTTGTGTTTGATAAAAGGGGATACTGAAATGGTGTGTTGCATTTTTAAAGCATATTGTCTAATTTTTAAAATCGGCTGTTGGTTGGAGGGGTTAATTTTGAATACCCTATCTTGAGTTTCAAATTTGCAGAATTTACCTTAAGCGCTGACAAATACATAAGAACTCTGTTCTGTCTTGTAAAAATGTGAAACATCTTTAAAGACTTCCCTTCGCATTCTTTTGTCCTAAACAAATATAACAAATGTTAAAAACTACCTGTCATACTGAAGTATTCATTCAGTTGTTTTTCACTGGCAAGAGAAGCTCTAGCTTTTGTTATAGCTTGCATGATAATGGCGCGAATCTGCATCATGTTCATTCCTGCGCATGACCCGCCCATCATCTGCGCATGCGCACACCATGTTACCAGTGGACAGACAAAAAGCAACAGCCGGATCATTGACATCTGTGAAAATAATAAATTAAATATAACATTGCACCTTTGTTTAATTAATCGTAAAAAAATCAGTATGCACAAAGATCATACATGTTCAATGTCCTAAGTATAATATATAAGATTGTTCCTTTTTTAATGAATCGTACGGACGCAGTGTGTACAAAGAAACGATACAATGTCCAATGTATAATGAGAAAATTGTTAAAGAAAGAAATAAAGAAAGGAAGAAAGAAAGGAAGAAAGAAAGCTTTAAGAGTTATTTCAGTACAAAAAAATATATTTATAACTGTCTTGCAAAGATTTATTGAACATTAATCAAAGTACTCATGATCATTGAACTATAGAAAAAAATAATTGTGTAAATTTACTTAAACTTACATTGTGGCGACCTGATTTTTTTTTACAAATAAAACATATTATACAATCTTATATACATATGAGATAATTAAGAATGGTTAAACATTTTATAAACTTTTCGCCGACATTCTTGCTTTGTTTCAAACATTTCAAGTAAAATCTGTATTTTGTAATACACGGTCTTCTTCCGCAGAAGGACGACAAACATATAAGTCCGGACAGAATGTACTCCTTTGATGTACACCGCTATAACATGTAAGGTTTGAAGTTAACACAAGTTTCATGAGTTGTACATGATGTCATTTGTCACATTCGGAAACACAGAGACATTAAAACTATAAACCTTACATAAGCATGCGAAAATAGGCACAAAACATGTTATATTTAAAACGTAATTTGCATTTCGAATTCACATTCAGTTAAACACGATTAAATTCAACAATTAAGACATTTCTCGTCTGATACACAAGTCGTGCTTTCCTTCACTTACCTTAAATGTAATTGCTGTACATACATTTATTACAATTAGACACAAAATGATGTTAAAATGTTTTTGTCTCAATAAGCAAGTGTTAAATTGGATTACCATTATTTTTTTTATTTCAGTGTTTAACAATATTCATAGGTTGAAAGTTCAACACGAGCTAGACACTTAAGTTGCCGTACAGGCATTCTAGTTGCCTTGGTCATTGACCTTTACTCCCAGCCCCGCCCCACAAACCACATCAAATGTACTTTTTGATCATTCTAATGTTTTCAATAACATCTAAAAATTTATAATATAATTCAACTTTTGTTGCCAGCGATTAAAAGAATACAATTAAAATGACAACACTATTTATATAGTCTTTCCTATTGTCACGTAATTTTTATCAGTATAACGCCATAGTGAATGAGATCATATCCTACATGCATCACTAGTTCTTTTTATCTCAGCATGTTATGCACACGTGGTAAAAGGACCTCTATGGAGGATTTAAAAGAAAAGTCATCCGGTACATGTACAATTCCAAGAGCACAACTTTATAACAACGTTATAATCTTAGATTGAAACAAATTGAACTATATTGTCTTGATATCTAACAAACAATTTTCCAAGATTACAAACTATTTTATAAATCATTATACCATTAGAGTTTTAAAATTGTTCACAAATTCCAAAAAGAAAAAGATCTTGAGCTTTGATCACCGCATGTCTTTAATACGTGAAAGCTAACATCTATTTAAACAAAATCTGCATATAAGCCTTCACGATATTATTATCATTCACCCCACATAATTATGCAGTTATTTTGCATTTATTGCATTATGATAATCTCTTTTCTTAGCATATCAAATAATACATCATGTTTTGTTCATGTGAATTGGTCTAAATATAAAAGGTATAAAGTATCATAAATAACGATGTTTATATATAGTATTTACTATCATATATGACAACAAACCATGTAAAAATTATTTATAAAATAAATGTTATTGGTTAGTGTGAGATGTACGATCTGATATTACATAATTATTAGTGTATGGCAGATAATAAATTGTTCTGAAACAAAGTATTATTTTTCATCAAATATATATTCATACTTCATTATTTAGAGCTTCATCAACATTTTAAAAGAATTATGTTATAAGAATATCCAGAAGATAAATTTGAGCCGTGTCACGACAAAACCAACATAATGGGTTTGCGACCAGCATGGATCCAGACCAGCCTGCGCATCCGCGCAGTCTGATCAGGATCCATGCTGTTCGCTTACAAACCATATAACAAGTAGAGAAACTGATAGCGAACAGCATGGATCCTGATCAGACTGCGCGGATGCGCAGGCTGGTCTGGATCCATGCTGGTCGCAAACGCATTACGTTGGTTTTGTCGTGACGCGGCTCATTTCTATGGTTTTTATCAATAATGAAAACACTTTTGGAAAATGGGCCTATTGTAGACCAATCCACTTTAAGCATTATAGAAAATAACACATCGGACATTATCAATTTAGCAAATGATGAAATTAAACATGATACATTAAATTTTAGCCTACTTCTACCTTTATAATGAAGTACACAGAACCTTGTCTCAGCCATACTTAAATAATCGTAAAATGCAAATGGCAACAAAACACACTGTATTAAGTGTTGTATCAAATGTTGTTCTTGATTCAAGAAATTATTACTAATATGTTGTGCAAACTAATATCTGAAAACATATTGTGAGTTTATGACATGCTTTTCATTATAATAGATAAAAGGTAATTTCAATAAAATAAATGTCACGGCGATAAAACCACACTGCTCACACTGCCTCGTGCCATTAAAGTCATTTAATATCAAAGAAGTGACCTGTTTTTGTGTCTCTAAAATTCAAAATGAAGCTTCCCAAGGCTCAACGGTAAGTCAATATATCGTTTTGCACATCCACTTTGATGTAGCTCAACAAGATTCGAGCTTATGTTACTTAGTATATATCTTTTTAGTAGTAAAACAACAACAATTAATGAGTGGGAGAAAACAGAAGTTAAAGATAGAGTTGTTTGGAGTTTCGATTGTTTGTTATAGTTATAACTTTGGGTGGATCGACCCAAAACCAAAACCAACGTAAGATATAAAAAAAATAGAATAAAATAAAGAAAGAGAAAAAAGACAAAACAGGTTAGTGATATTAATATTGGTTTAAAATGAGTAAACGATACTGTGGAATAGCCGTTGGTTCAGGATATATCAAGTTGATTTACTTAGAACATGGAAAATATCTTTAAAGGAATATAGCTCCGCCAAAGAGTATTGAGCTCCACAAAAGTACGTGAAATGTATAGTTTGCAATTCCAGGACCACAGTGCCGATCATCAATAGATTGACGTCATTGTACGACGAATACTACAGTAAGTCCATTTAAATTAATGTCTAGTGAAAAGTGTGACCGAAATTCAATCTTCTTTTTGAGTTTATCTAAATAATCAACTTTGCTTACATCTTCATCACTCTGTGCAGCTTAATCTAAGATATTCGTTTTCGGTTTATAAAAACCTTTTAATTAAAGAGTACAATTTTGTCCATCTATTTATGAAACAGATATAAAAATCATTTTAATACAATAACATTTGTTTTGTAATTTTAATAAAAAAATATATGTAATAAGAATTCACCTACCTTTGTCGGACTTTCCTATGTCAAAGAATGCAATCTAACACTAGTGGTGTTCGCGCATGCGCTATTGAAAGTGAATCGACGTCGTTGAAAACTTGTAACTTCGCTTGTAACTTCCATAATAAAATTTATGTTTCATCGCGTCAAGTTGCGTATACGTGGTCATTTTCTGAAGCGAAAGAAAACATGTACATGTATATACATGAATGTAATTTTATGGCTTGAGTCATGTTCTTTTTTCACTTATAAGACTGTCCACATATACGGCTGTGCTATTTCCGAGACAAATTCATGTCATACGATGAAATAAATGTATCTTGGGCATGATTAGAGACTAAAATAAACATTTTATGTAGTAATATTTAGATACAAATTATATAAACAGTCATAAATCGTTTTCGAAATTCTGCCAATTGTCTTTTTTCATACAATAATATATTTATGATTAAATTTTATTAAGAACTCCTTATAAGCGTTTACCAGCCATAATTATTTTGCAAAAACTAAATTTGAATAAAATTCCTAATCGGTTGAATACATACATGGTTTTTGGTATCATTTGAATACAGATGCTTTGCAACATAGAATAGTTTATACAAATAAGAATCACGAGCTAAATAAAAAATATACATGATATTGCAATACATACTGACCCAACCTCGAAGATTCAGGATGTTTTTGAGTGTCTGCTTTGTTTGGTTTTTGGGCACACCAACACAATTTATGTGACAAGGCGCCGAAACAGGAAATATGATTTTTGCTAACTTCTGGTGTTACAAACTTAAAGCAACACCGGGGATAAAAACCACCACACGTGAAAGAACTATTAGATGTGTGGACTCGAGTAGTTCGAATCCATTTAGTAGCCTCTTATGATCACACAGGGATAAACGATGGCTGTAATTCTGATGCATCTGCCGTTCTGCACATTATGCCTCAGAATTTAATATCCTAGTATTATGTGAGATGGTGAATTCAAATATTTCTTATCACCGTAAGAATTGATTCTTAAAGAACAAATAAGCTTTATTTCTTACATCACATCTCCGGCTTACTAATACGTTGGTGCCTGAAGGGATTTTCAACCGTATTTTATTTACACTTTAACCTGCTTTTCCGTCCAGTCAGAAGGTCTAAGTTTTAATGTGGTGTTTGTAGTTTTCACCCCGGGTCACGGCAGAAATTGACATTGAATTTATCAGATCACAGTCTATCCATCATATCATTCATGGGCAGGCTGTCAAGCAGTTTACAGGAACTTATAACTTCTGTACATGCCAGAGCAGAGGTATAGTGCGGATGATCGTAGGAAGGATTTTATGATCAATCAAAACGAAAGTGACCTGCATCGTCCTGGAATCGAATCCGGATTCTATCTATTTAGCTAATCGGACGGTGCAATTTTATATTTCAGTTTATTGTTTCCTTTAAATTATCATCTTCTTCAGCTACATGTATTTATTCGTTTTAAATATCGTCGCGTCCATTTGGACATTAACATAAAAAACAGGTCAATGACTAAGACAGTTAGACGCTCTTATAAATCCTTTAAGCTCTTTAAAAAGTTTTATTTTTCCATGTAAGTGTCCAGTAGACATGTGGAAGTCATACAGCACATCTGTCACATGGATAACTATGATTTTTTAAATTATCTAAACAGTGTTGGAAGTACATTTCACCTTCCCGACGCGTAACCGTGAAAAAAATGGGGGCAATGAGCCATGTTTTGCATGAATTCTGGCAGTTCCACAATGTCTTGGTAGTTTCGAATAGCGAGAGATATGCCCTTACCGGCTGTGTTGGTGATATAGCTACGATTTGGTCATGTTTTGATGGGATTTACAGACGGACTTTCAGATCCAAAAGTGAACGTCTCGCTTTTCTCCGGATTTAAAGTCTTACCGTCATTGATGTGGTCATATGGCGACCTTCAAGCTGAACTGCTGGAGAGAGTCATGCCACATCCTACCGGTGTAGATACGAATAGAACACCAGGTGGTGCATTATTCATAGTCGTTATCGTATAAAGCTCATCAGGGATCTCTATTCGACGCTTTGCTCTAAAATTTGATGATGAACTGTATTTTGAGCAAGCAGTTGTTGCTTTATGTTGGATAGAGATGCTCTTATATCTGATACCGGAAC